AAATCATGCTCAGAGGAATCCTGTCACTTTGGACATCACTGTATCAATCCAGTTTTACACAGGTGAGGAATTAAATAAATGCTTTGTTCAACCTAATTAGGAAGACCCAGAGGAATCGGGTGGAGAAGGAGGTGGGAGGGGGGATCGGGATGGGGAATACATGTAAATCCATGGCTGGTTCATGTCAATGTATGACAAAAACCACTGCAATATTGTAAAGTAATTAGCCTCCAACTAATAAAAATAAATGAAAAAAAATAAATAAATTTAACAAAAAGAAAGAAAATACATGTGTGCTCAGTCGTGTCCAACTCTTTGCAACCCCATCGACTGTAGCCCACCAGGCTCCTCTGTCCATGGGATTTTCCAGGCAAGAATACTGGAGTGGGTTGCCATTTCCTACTCCAAATTAGAAAATGGGGGAGACACAAATTAAAACAACACTGAGACAATATTTTATCCATAATTTTGACCAAAGTTTAAAGGAATGATAAAATATTTTTGAGAGTGGATATTCACATAAAATAGTTTTTGAGAATATGAATGGTACAGCATTTTAGAATAAAATTCCAGGAATATTTATGAAAATGTGAAATATTTATACCCTTTCCACTTTAACCAAAAGTCATATTAATATGTTAGATGTGGTTACCTCTGGATAAGGGGCTGAAATTTGGAGGAAGTTTATTTTTTTTTCCATTTATTTTTATTAGTTGGAGGCTAATTACTTTACAATATTGTAGTGGTTTTTGCCATACATTGACATGAATCAGCCATGGATTTACATGTATTCCCCATCCCGATCCCCCCTCCCACCTCCCTCTCCACCCGATTCCTCTGGGTCTTTCCAGTGCACCAGGCCCGAGCACTTGTCTCATGCATCCACTGGAGGAAGTTTATAAACAGAGCAATTATCTATTTTTACAAGTTTTTTGCAATAAGAGTAAGTACACTATATGCACTAACAATACCTTTGTAATTAAAATATTTAAATACACCTACCTATGTATTTGTCAGTTGAAGTAACTGCAAGCTGATGCAACAAACAAAAACTGTAATTTAAATGGCTTAACATAAGAAAAGTTTATTTTTGTTCATATAAATTCTGATGCATTGGGCAGGAGACCTCTGCTCTCAGATAACCCAGGGATTCATGATACTTCGAGACTATAGTTCCACCATCTCAGCAGGGAGATGCCAAGTTTGCTGCTGGATGAAATAGAAAGCATGGAAATGCCATGCTGGCTCTCAAATGCCTGGATTTGATGACACTTCTACTCATATTTCAGGGACAATGGGTAGTGATATGATCATTCCTAACTACAAGTGGATTGTACTTGTAGTAATACAACTACAATGTCGTACTTCTTGTAGTAAACACATTGTAGTAGTACATTGTGAAGGAAAGGAAGACAAAATATGGATAAGACCATGTGGTCTCTCTCATACACTGTTACATAGTAGATGCTGAACAAAAAGCAATTATTATAATTTGCTATGACAACAACCTACACTTCTTGGAGAATTTCCTTTTTTATTGAAGTACAGTTGATTTACCATGTTGTGTTAGGTTTTGGTATACAGTGAACTGATTCAGAAGATATCTATCTATCTATATATTTCATATTGTTTTCCTTTATGGTTTTATTATAGGATTTTTTTAATTGGGCTATAGTTGCTTTACAATGTTTTGTTAGTTTCTGCTGTATAACCAAGTAAGTCAGCTGTATGTATACATATATCCCCTTCCCTCTTGGATCTCTCTCTCACTGCCCTCCCCACAATCACACCCATCTCGGTCACCACAGAGCATTAAGCTGGTTTCAAATACTCTTAACTTCAGGGTTTTATCCAAAGAACTGGTAGATTATGTGCCAAGTTAGACTCTACACATAAACTCATTTAGAAAGAAGAGAGTTTGTTGAAGATACCTGTGGAGGCGGGAAGAGGTAATGACCAATGTCTAACATCACTATCCAATGTAAACACAAGGGCACTATAAGTGGGCAGTGGGTTGAGATAGTCTGGGGACTTCTGCAGGGAGTTGAAATGCTTTATGTCAGAGGGAGGGCAAGAGATTAAGGCTATTCCATTAGGAGTGGGCACAGATTTCAGAAGAGGCAGCAGTGATGAGCTGGTAAGCTGGTCAGTTTCCAGAGTTGGACTGGAGGGTACATAGGGGAAAACCAGGGGATGGGTGCTATCATGTGGGAAGGTGCTGGGACTAGCCAGACTTCTGGCAGCTCAGCTCTCAGGGGACCCTGACAGGCAGGAGGACTCTGTGTTAATAAAGCCCACAAACAATACTCAAACCCTGTCTGCTTCATTTTGTCGCCTTCTTTCTTTAAGCCTGCTTTCAGTGTCTTGGGGTCCTCCTTTTGGTCACCTTAGAGACTGTATGGAGTACTGAGAAAAGAAATGATTTAGAGGCAGAACGTTGGTATCAGGCTGGGGTTGAGTGGGAAAAGCGTAGGTTCCCAATGAATTTAGACTAGAGATCTAGTCCCTGCCCTGTCACTTATTAGCCATGTAACCATGGTAGATTACCAAGCCCTATGGCCTCAGGTTTTTCATCTGTGAAGCAAGTGGGCTTGATGAGACCTGTCTTGTAGGGTGGCTGAGATGTAGGTAATGTAGGCAATGTAAAGCACCTTGCACAGTGCCTGGCTCAGTCTTTAACAATTAGCAGTTACAGTAACTCTGTTATCCACAGTTTTGCTTTTGGCAGTTTCAGCTACCTGAGATCAACCAGGGTCTGAAAATACTAAATAGACAATTCCAGAAATATAAAATTCATTAAGTTTTAAATCACACCATCCCACTCTGTCCTGCCCTGAACATGAATCATCCTTTCCTTCAGCATATCCACCCTATATATGCTACCTAACCATTAGTGTAGGAAAAAATGTAACATTGTAGTGTTCAGTACTCTCCATAGTGTCAGAGACCTACAGGCCGTCTTGGAACATAATCACTGGCAGATAAGGGGGACTTCTGTGTTTCCATCATTAATTTGACCCCAGGCCCTTCTACCCTGTACTCTAGAAGTTGTTGTTATCCAGTACATCTTAGTGAAATCTCAATAGGACACGTAATACCATAATCAGTCAACCATGCTGCTGGCTTTGTAAATAGTGGTAGTAGTGTTAGTCGCTCAGTTGTGTCCAACTCTTTGTGATCCCAAGGACTGTAGCCTGCCAGGCTCCTCTGTCCATGGGATTCTCCAGGCAAGAATACTAGAGTGGACTGCCATTTCCTTCTCCAGAGGATCTTCCTGACCCAGGGATTGAACCCGAGTCTCCTGCGTTGCAGGCAAATTCTTTACCATTTGAGCTACAGGGGCTTTGTAAGTAAAAATTCAGTAAATTTTCTTCTTAGAGGATATATTATTAAATTTAGATGGAGGGGAGTCTTCCCCAGCTGGATGCAGCTCAAAGCTGCTAGAATTTTAGCCAAAGACCAATTCAGTCCCTCCCTCCCAGATGCATTTTCATCCGAACCACTATTTTCATTAATTCCTCCCCACCCAAAGTTATATATTGCTCAGAATTGGTCAAATTACATTAAAAGTAATCTAATTAAAATGTCTTCTAATAATGTCATCTCTGACTTCCCTAGGTCAGTGAAATGGGTGCCTGGACAGTGACTCCCCAGCATCATTCAAAAGATATTTATCCTTATTTCTCAGGAAACCCTTGCAGATGATACTTATAAAACACCTAGGTCTTGTGTTCAGCTGAACTGGGACAAGAGTACAGGACAACTTCCTTACTTGCCCCAGGAAGTGATTTATCTCTGGTTTATCCATGATCCAAAAGGAAATGCCAAGAGCAGTTTTGTTATCCAGGTTTCCTCTCACTCCTAAGACACACCCGGAGAAGGCAATGGCAACCCACTCCAGTACTCTTGCCTGGAAAACCCCATGGACAGAGGACCCTGGTAGGCTGCAGTCCATGGGGTCGTGAAGAGTCGGACACAACTGAGCGACTTCACTTTCACGTTTCACTTTCATGCATTGGGGAAGGAAATGGCAACCCACTCCAGTGTTCTTGCCTGGAGAATCCCAGGGACGGGGGAGCCTGGTGGGCTCAGACTATGGGGTCGCACAGAGTCGGACACGACTGGAATGACTTAGCAGCAGCAGCAGCAGCAAGACACACCAACTGCAGATCTGAGGGCTGCCACCACCCAGGTTCATTACCATCATCTCCCACAGAAGGAACCCAGCTTCCCAAAGCCCCAAACCACCCTGGCTCAGGCACTGACACTCGAGGGCTCCTCCTGGAGCCCCACGACCCTGCCCCGTGTTTCCTTGTTTAGTGGGACTAGGGGACGTCTCTTCACCTTTCTTGTGTGACTGCAGCTCCTAGACCATCGCTCTAGGTGTGGGGGTGCCCTGCTTCTCCCAGTGTCCCCACTGCTAACACAGGGCCTTCCACAGAGCAGAGGTTCCATGAAGGTCTTTGGAATAAATGAGCCAGTGAGCAGAGATTTCATTTATTACTGTTTTATTTCTTCTACATCCTTGAATAAACTAAGAAAATTCAAGTACATATCGTAATGTTACAGAATAGACTGAAAGTGAGAATTAAAAAGTAAACCGCTTAATTTTTTTCTCCATTTCACTAAGTTCTTTCACATTTTCAAGGAAATTCTTATTCTAATGCCATCTTTTCTTATTACAGAGTACAAATAAAATGAAAGGTTTCCCAATTTGTCTTAACACAGCAAAATTCTTTCTACTAAACTGAAAGGAAAAAAAATGCTAAATGTGCCAATGTCATGCATAAATCAGATTTTGAGAATAACAGACTTTCTAGTTGAGTAACAACATTTTAAAATGCCAAAAAATAAAAGAAGATCAAGTTTTAAGTCACCCTAGTGGAAGAGAAACACAAAAATGCTACTTACTATGATTCCCTTGCCCCCAGTCTGTCCCTCTACTAGTTAGATCATTGACTGCCCTCTTAAAACACAGAGTGAAGAATCTGCCTTGGACTTCACTCAGGACAGGATGGTGCACTGGAACTTTCACTGGCCATGGCACTAGTATCATCCGTGGTGGCAATTCCAGATTGGGCTCTCTCTTCCTGCTGTCTCAAAGCCTCCTCATACCACAGAGGGAAGGCTCTAGGGTCATTTCCACTGATCTTGGCCAAAAACTCCAGGAGAGTCATCTTGCAGATCTCTGCGTGGGCCCGGGGACCCCACAGAAACACATAGCTGGCAGGATCACTGTTGGGCACCTGTCGGTACTCAAAGTACTGCTCCTGCACCAACACTCTGGTAATAAGCTCCCTGGGCTCCCCATAGATAAAGTGATCTGTCCCATCATATACCCCCATCACATTCAGCACTTCCCACACCTTCTCCTCAGAGACACAGTCACCCTCCATAAAGATCATGCTCAGGATAACTATCAGAATACCGTTCTTGGGCATGGTCTGCCCATCGCTCATCATCCCATCGCAGGTGAGACCCAGGGTAGTGACCACAGCATAGGAGTCATTGCTGGGGTCCACTTCCTTCACATCCACGCCAAACGCCAGCTGCAGGCACTCCGAGGCTTCTCTGAAGATCTCAGGGAAGTGATCCTGGTAATCTTTGGTGACGACACTCAGCATTTCCGCCTTTGTGGTCAGCTCCTTGGTGCGATACTTGAGGAGCAGAAACTCTACCAGATCAGCCACCCTGTCATCAATCACATTTCTGGGCAGGGACTCAGCATTTGGCAGAGCCTGAGAAGTGCTCGGACTCTCCTCTTTTTGGCTGCTGGGGCCATCCTCGGATTGGCTCATTGGAGAGGCAACAGCAGTGGGAGAGAGAGAGGAACTCGGAGGGCTCTGTGAAGGACCCTGGGAAGGACCCTGGGGAGGATCCTGGGAAGGATCCTGGGAGGGACCCAGGGGTTCAGGAATAACATTAAGACCCTCCTCTGGGGAGCTCGAGATCAGAGGATAGGAAGAGGAAGAGGAGGAGGAGGAGGATAAGGGAAATGAGGAGGAGCAGGTGGAGGATGAGGATGTATCCTCTTCCACAACCACAACAACACTTTGGGCCTCACTGCCTTCCTCAAGCACGCAGCGCCGTCGCTTTGGAGCATGAGACATGATGACTGGTTTCCGGCAACAGACAGGAGTGTGGGCAGAGGTGACAGATGGGGGACCACGGGCCTGGGGGAGAGAGGATGAGAGTGGCCTCAGCTGAGAAACGAACCCTGGGTGGTCTGACACAGGCCACTTACAGGTCTCCTCTCGAGGGGTGCTCTTGGACGGAACAGGGGTACTCCTCCTGGGTGGCCTGTTTGCTGGCTACCCAAAGAAGGAAGGGCAGGGTCTCCCCAGGATGCAGTCAGCCCATCCCGAGGTTCTGGGGTTCACATAGTGGAGGGATTTGAGCCTTGTGGGTTCCCCTCTGTTCTAGGATGGGGGCCTCTGGTGCACACTCAGGGCACCCTCCTCACCTTGACTCCTGGTTCTGGCAGGACCTCCTCTGCTCTCTGACCTCAGGACACCGACCTCAGACCTCCGCCTTCACCTCCTGGTTCCTGGAGCTCCTGTGACAGAAATGGAGGGGACATCTTGGGGGTAGACTGTGGCACAGCCCTGGGCCTTCTGTGATGGTTCAAAGGGTGGACTCTATGAGGTCTCCCCAGTTGTGCAGTGGGAGGTCCCATCGGGGTTCCCTTGTAGTGCACACTTTTCCCCTGGCATGGCCTGGACTTTCCCCTTTTGGGGCCTGCAGGGAAACTCAGAACAAGACCCGAGTCTGAACAGAAAGCGCTGAGGGGCCCCACATGTGGCTGCACCTGCCCAGGGCCTCCCGCAGGTCCTAGGCTGGGGAGATGCTCGGTCCTCAGCTCCTCCTCACCTCCCGCCTGCCCTCCCAGCACTGACCACAGGGGAGGGAATCGGCTCAGTCCTCCCTTGGGGTCCAGGGAGTCCACCCTTGGTGAATCTGAAGCCTCTGCCCTCTGCCCAAACACCTCACCTCCCGAGACCCTAAGCCAGAGGTGAAGAAAATGCTCACCCTGCTTACCCTGCTCTAGGGCCTCCAAGAGCCCCCACAAGGGCCAGGATCCCTGCCTCCCTATTGGGGTATAACCACCTCAGTCCTTCCTCACATGGAATCTAGACTCCAGGCAGGACTGGGGATTGTCCCGTCTGCCATTTTCAGACCCCGCAGCTTTCACAAGGTCCCCCGTCTCTCTGAGACCCGGATGTCAGGAAATGCTGCATGTGGCCGTCCTGCCTGGGGACTACAGGGTCCCCTATGTTCTGGGGTCCAGCTCCCCTTAGTCGTCCCTCAGTGGTCTACACCCCCTAGGGTCCTCCCAGGGCTGACAGCAGGGGCAGGAATCTGGGGTCCTCACCTTGACTCCTGGTAGGACCTGGGCTCTGTCCTCTCCCCACCTGAGGCCCGGCTCCTCACACCAGGTCCCCAGTCTCTCTGAGACCCGGATGTCAGGTAGTCAGACAGGCGCAGTGTGCTCTTCCCACCCTAGGGTCTCCCAGGGCCGACGACAGGGGCGGGGATCTGTGGGGCTCCGTCACTCCTCCCTCGGGGTCCCCTCAGTCCTCCCTCAGGACCTTACCTTGTCTCCAGGCAGGACCGGGATTCTCTCCTCGACCCAACTGAAGCCCCGCCTTTTATACCAGTTCCCAAGTCTCTCCGAGCCCCGGATGTCAGGAAGTCCGCCCCCGCTACCAGGTCCCCAGTCTGAGATTGGATGTCAGGAAGCCCGCCCCCTGTACCAGGTCCTTAGTCTGAGACCCGGATGTCAGGCAGTCAGACCATGTCTGTTGGTCTCATCCTACTCCAGGGCTGCCCAGGGCCGACAATAGGAGTGGGCTTCTCTCAGGTCTCCTCTGTCTGGGGTCCAGGGTCCCCTCAGTCCTCCCTCAGTTTCCTCAACTGGACACCTTGCAGGACCTGGTATTCTCCCCTCTGCCCATCTGAGGTCCCACCCCGTATATCAGGTCCCCAGTCTCTCTGAGACCTGGATGACCGGAAATGCAGCATGTGTTCATCCAACTTATGTGCTCCCTGAGCCCACTCTGTTCTGGGCTCCGGGGTCCCCTCAGTCCTCCCTCGGGGGCTTCAGCTTGACTATCAGCAGAACCTAAGATCCTCCCCTCTGCCCATCTGAGGCCCCAGTCTCTCTGAGACTCAGATGTGGAAGTCAGGACTTGCTGCCAAGGTGCTTATCCCCCCACCAGGGGCCTCCCAGGGCCAGGAATCTGGGGGGGCGGTCCCCTCTGTTTGGGGTCCAGAGTCCCATCAGTCCTTGCTTAGGGTCCTCACCTTGACTCCCAGAAGGACATGGGATTCTCTTCTCTGCCCTGCTGAGCCCCCACCCCTTATACCAGGTCCCCAGTCTTTCTGAGACCTGGATGTCAGAAATGGATGATGCATGTGGTCATCCCACCCCAAGGTCCCTCAGGGTCCTCCTTCAGGTCCTTACTTACCTTCATGTCTGTCAAGGCCTGGGACTCCTCCATTTGCTGACTGAAGGATGCACACCCAAGACCAAACCAACCCTATTTCAGTATCCCAAGGCAAAGTGATGTGATACTAAGTCCAATCAGATGCCTGGGCTGACAGCATCAGATCTGTTGAGGGATCCCCTCTGTTCTGGAGGCTAATGTCTCATCAGTCCTCCCTCAGGATCCTCACCTTGAATACTGACCGTTCCTGGGTCCTCTCCTCTGCTTACCTGAGTCCAGCCCTGCTAGCTCAATGTCTTTCCCTCCTTTAGACCATTTCACCCAGAAGAAGACAGAGGTCACCGTATCAGGCTACAGCTTGTTGGGGCCTCCCTACACTCATAGCAGGGGCAGGGTGGAGCTGACCTCTGTTCTGAGGTTCAAGGTGCCTCCAGTCCTTCCTCAGGGTCCTTGTCTTGACTCCTGGCAGGTTCTGGAACTCCTTTCTTTGCTGATCTGAAGACACATCACTCTATCCAAGCCTCACTTCCCTGAGATGTTCATTTTCTACTTCCCCAGAAGGAAGTCAGAGGCTTCCACGTCTCTCTGACTTCGCGCCTATGGGGCTGACTGCAGGGACAGGGTAAAGCTGGGACCCGTCTCTTCCAGTCTGGGAGATTCCTTCATTGCTCCTTCAATATCCTCACCTTGATTTGTGACAGGGCCTGAGGCTCTTCCCTCTTGTGACCTGAGCCTGTCTCCTTCCAGCCAAGGCTCTCACCTCTCTGAAGACCCCCAGGGCAGATTGAGTCTCACAGTCTGACAGCTCTGCCAGGGATCTCCCACAGCTGTTATCAGGAGTAGAACTGGATTATCTGGACCTTCTGGGAGGATGCCCCCGGCTCAGTCCTCACTTCTGAGGTCCTGGGTCCTTGATGAAATCCTGGCTGGGAGAGGCTCCTCACTGTCAGCTCCAAGCATTTGTCCAGCTGTGTCCCTCGCAGAGAATGATTCTGCAACATGAACTAGTTTCTAGACAGGGAGCTGCAGTGCCCATGAGCATGGGGGAGAGTCAGAGAAAAAGCAACCTTTTCAATGGAGTCTCTTGACCAGCCAGCCAGATTTCAGAAACATTTTGTTCTAAAAGATTCATTTTCTGCACAGAAGAGGCTGAGGGCAGCATTTGGGGAGGTCCTGCTCATTTGAAATTATCTAACATTTCATAGTTCAGAGCACTGATTTTCATTTTCTTAACCCTCATTCCCAGCAAAAAATATATTATACATCTCTACCAAGTGTATGTTTAGAATCCATATAAAATTTCATGAAAGAATACCTACACTTATTGTGCTTTAATAGCTCCTATTCTATAATCTCTCCAATCCATTCTTTATCTTCTGTTAAAAATTATTTTGGGAAAAAAATTATTTTGGAAAGGCCAATCCTCAGTCTCTTATCAAAAGTTCAGGAGTAACAGGAGTAGAAGCAATGAATCACTAAAGTAATAATTAGTAGTAGTTTATTCTGCCCATGCCAAAAAGACAGTTTGTGAACACAGAGCATTCAAACCAAACATGGAATGAGGCTCAGGGGTATATCGTTATAAAGCTGCTTATATTGGGGGAAGGCAGTGACTATTCTTCACAGTGGTTGGTTATAATATTTGAATTTCTTAAATGATAGGGAATTGGTTAGTGATTACCTCATATCATTTTGGGGAAACAACTGAAGTTTTGCTGATGACTTCCAGAGGCATAAGCAAGGCATAATCAAGTTAGTCTTGCAATAAAACCTAAATTAAACTTTATTTGTATGACTAAATTGGTTTTGTCTGCTCAAGGAGTTTTTCAAGGCTAGTCTCTGTTTTTGATTGTAACACACTAAAATGGTTTCAGGTGGTCATTAGCACAGGCTTTGGGGTCCTACACCCTCAGTCATCTCACCTTTCCAGCTGTCCTGTTACTATCCCAGAGCTACTGGTATCTGTGGTTAGAGGGCCTGCCTCTGGTCTGTGCAATGAAATAGGCCAGAAATTTAAAATCTTTTCCTTACCTATCCTGCCATCTGCATCCTGCCATCTGCATCTCTGCAGCCTACAGCCCTTCCGCAACTTCCCCACTGCCCCCCACCCCACCAAACGCAAGAACCAGCTCCACACAGTCATCAGTATTCTCTAGGGATTTCTCCTGTTTTGTTGTTTAGCTTTTGTTGTTGATTCCCCACCCCCCTCTCCTTTTGTAGTTACTGAGAGTTGATTTGGGGAGTGGAAGTCAGTGGTCTGAATTTACAGGTATAAATCTATAAATAATTTAAGGAGAATTCATATCTTTGTAATAATGCTGTTCCTCATGAATGAATATGTGTTACTGCTTTATTTATTTGGGACTTTTAGCTGAATCTATCAGAAAGCTTTTATATTTGCCTCCATTAATGTCTTGTACATGTCTGTTAGGATTCTTTTTAGGTAATTTTCTTCACTTTCTTGCCATTGTGAATGAGGTATTTCCTATTTCATGTTTTAATTAGTTATTGCTTTTAGATGGCAAGGTTCTTGATTTTGCTATAATGATTTTCCATATATATTTTCCTGAAATCTCTCACTCTCAATCATTCAAATACTCCACATATTTTACAGATAATAATATTGTCACCAAATATTATCTTTCTTTTCAATATTCATACCT